AACTATAAGGCCGTCGCTGATTGGCTGCTGAGAAGTGTTCTATGTTCGTTGTGTAATTAGATGTTCGTATGCAAGGAATTTTTCCACACAAAGACAACAAATTCGTTTTAACGACTTAATATTACCCAGCGGATTGTTTGGCTGTAAATGATTGCTTCTGAAATACATATAAATCCGTAACTATGTAATCGTTAGGTTGACGAATGTCCATATCCTTATATGAACAATGCGTGATTCGGGTTTGCTATGGCACATCCAATAATATATAGGCCTGTTTTCTTTAATGTGATTTGACGTGGGTTCATCTCAATACAACAGCAGTACAATAAATAGTGTGAATATCAATTTACTCACCTGGACATTAACATTGTATTCAAGAAATTGACTGATCAATAGACCCACTTGTACTACAAGAATGACAAGTGCCAGGAGCACTATAGCTATCCAAGTGAATCGGGTACAGGGATGTGTGGCTGAAAAGATATGAGAAACACCGTGGGCCGTGGTGTGCTTTCCATAATCTTTAGTGATGTCTTTCAAAGGTTTTTCTGTGTCATGACTTCCCGGCTCTTTCATCTTTGGCTCTGTTGATCGTGTATCTTCGCGGATTTAAATCATACCTTCAATAAATAAACATGTATTATATAAATATTAAATGTGTATGTATTATTTCAATATAATCAAAGTCTGCACCAGTAATGCCATATACATATGATAGTTTGTTAACATGTTAGTAATACAGACATTTAACCCTCACTGTTCATCCTTTATACCACGTTCGAAAAAACAAAAAATGGCAATATGTTTAGTATGATTGAAGATATGATAGTCATGCTCTTAACATTCAAATATAGTAATCTTAAATGGCATAACAAAATTCCCAACAGCGTAGTTATGATTTTATGAGCACCTAGCGATTGGTCGGGCATAGCAAATAACTCACTGAACTGGAATGTGGTATTTTGTTATTTCACCGTGTTTGTGGCAATGGCTTCGTCGTCGTCTTTTACGTGGCTGAAATAACTCCATGACATTCACGGTACGTTCTCTAAGGCTTGATCAACATTGCCAACACCAAGAAGATTATGAGGTTACTTGTGGTGACTGTTAGTCTGACCTAATTAGACACCCACTGCTGTTGCCACACCCACAGTTATTTCAACCAATCACATCCCGGTGTTACTATTAGTAGTTTGTTTGTTATTTCATTGTAACTTGCATGTAATCGCGTGAAACGAATAAACAGTTGAGTTATTGTTACCGCACGGTAAACTTGTCTTCTAGATCTCTCTATTCCGGGTTTCTACCCGCAACCGACTCAACTCACGTGCCCATGCGCACAGTTATTACGAGAATTCCTCAAAGTATGCACGAAGACAGTACAGCAGGAGTATCGACCGATCGCATGTCAAACTATTCAATGCCAACACAAGTCGAATCACAATGAACCGAGAATAACTGGCCATTGGCATTTTGTTTTTGTTCAATCGGGTTTTGTTGGTCAGGATGTATTTGACAAAAATCATGTTGTGCTGATGTCATAATATGGCCATATAGCCACATGTTGGTTATACCCCAATGCCTTAAATATACCATTGGTTACGTATGTAACAGTGCTAGAAATATTGTAAATATGCATAATAATAGTGTCACATGACGCCCAATTACAGCAATTATTGTCGGTTACTATTTATCCTTAAGAAATCCAAAATTACAATTAATGTATTGGGAAAACTATATTTCTCCAGAACGCTTGGTTTTGTGAAGAGAGTTTAATGGCCAGCAAAATAAATGTTTCAAATTAAAAATAGGCAATGGCAGTAGAACGTGATGAAAACATGAATTTCAAATTATAGACTGGGCATGTGTAGTAGACGACACAAATGTTACATCGAAGGGACAAATATATCTTAAATTTCTGTTAATTACAAAATCAAAAGATTGCCGCCAAAACACGTGATTAAACACACACCCGAAAAAGACACTTTGAAAAAAGCTATAATACTGTGTTCTAAATGTCATGTAAATTGCACCAACTGTTATGAATCAATTGATTCTCACATGTTATTTATCAGACC